CCACTGGGTGCCCACAGAAGCCTCAGGCAGAACGTCCCTCACATGTTACTGGGACACACAAGTCTGCCGCTGTAAATAAGAAGTGAAGGAAGCTGCTCTGCTGCAAGAACCTCTATTGCAAGCAGGTAGCAGGTTCTGGAATGGTACAGGGAGAGCATAACTGCATCCCAATGAAACATTTTGGCAGTATTGCTCCTAAACACCATCTTTGCCATTGTGAAGGTGACCTTTGCATATTGGATAGAGGGAGTTGTCAGGTATGAGAGCCCTGGAGAGCTGGTGCCGAGCAATGTGGGAAACTCACCTGCCTTAATATCCGCTCCTGCACTTTTATGGTTATGCTCAACAGATATGTACATGTCTTCGCTAAAGTAGATGTGTACCTGTTACAGATGGTAAAATGGAAAATTAGACATCAGGAAAACCTCAAAATGTAGTTGAAATAATGATCTTTATTATTTTGTATTAAATTACCAATTCATTTTTACTATGGCCCTGCAGCTGAAGGAAGTCTTGTTTGTTCATTGGTTTAACCTGATAAGCCTGAAGGGCATGTCATTACCTTCAAGTAAACATAAGTTCAAGGAGGGGAAATGGCCTGATTCATGTTTAAAAATAGACAGAAAAATCTGATTAGAAGAATTGTCAGATGATAAGTTAATCAGACTGGCAAAAATATGATTGCCCAGAAGCCTGGTTAAAATGCAGATTTTGTCAGACGAAGAATCCGTCAGGTTTTCTGCTTGCTAGAAAGAGAGAGCAGGGAAGATGAGTATGTGTTCCTTTGACATACAGCACAGTAACATCAAGCAGCTGCTCAGAGGAGTCACTCAACAGAAAAAAGCATAGAAAGTAGGAATGAGACTGAGACTCCCTGAACTTGGGGAAGAGAACAGTGCGCAATCATCCGAGGAAAAGGACTGAAGGAGAAGAACTTGAGCAGAGGTATGCTGGTCGTTAGGGAGTGAGAACGGGTGAACCTTCAACTGAGTGTGAGTGTATCTTACCTGGAAAGGAGAAATCCGGACTGGGCTTTTTAATTCCAAACAGATGTTTAAAAGCCATCTATTTCTGACAGAGAGAGCAGCAGGGCAGCCCTCCTCTCAAGGTGGAGCTAGCAGGACAGCATCCCGTAAAGCAGGGGGCTGCCTGCTTACTTGCTCAGGAATTAACATCAGAAAGAATGAGTTTGTTCCAAACTTTGTCAGCCTGTGATCTTTTTTTTAATCTTAAAAGTATTTATAAATATAATTGTTATAAATAACCAATTTATAACAGTAGGATACCAACATGAGCTGAAATTCTGCTGAAATGCTTTTATGTTTGTGGTGTCTCAGTGTAGCTAGAAAAATGTGAACTGCCCTACAATTCATTTTTAATTACCTTGAGAAGAATGATACCACATTTTGAAAATAAGGACACCTCTGGATTCCTGTCAGGCAGCCAAATTTCAGCCTATCTTTGGCTTGTGCAAATATTATCCAGCATCAAATTATTAGATGTATATAATATTGAAAGAAATGTCCTCTGCTTTAGTACCCATGTAGTAGAGCTTTTAAGCACATGCTTTGCTCATGTGTTCAGCCACTAAGTTTAAGTGTTAAAAATAATGTCAGTAATGAAACAAATGGAGATAAGGTGCTTCTGGTTTAGTTAAAACTCACCAGAATAGAAAAATATAGATTGAATCAAATTAGAATTTAAGTTTTATTTCAAATCAAATGAATATGGGCTGCCCAGGGAGGTGGTCGAGTCCTCATCCCTGGATGTATTTAAAAGAAGGATAGATGAGGTGCTTAGGGACATGGTTTAGTGGTGGGATGGCAGGGTCAGGTTAAAGGTTAGACTTGACGATCTTAAAGGTCTTTTCCAACCAAAGTGATTCTATGATTCTATGAATAAGTATTTACAGACCTAGAAGGGTTTGGTTTGGTTTTTCCACAGCAGAACTAGCCAGTTGAAGAAACAGAATAATTTCAACCTCTAGCTATTTCAAAATATGATTAAGATGATACATTTCAGAACATACCTGTATTCAGATTTGCAGTGGATGTGTCCCATGAAGATGCTGGTTAGACCCAGCCTTGGTTAGCTTAGGAAGTCTGAAGAGGGTGGTGCAGGTGGGGTGAGTGTGAGCGGTTCGGGGGGTATTCAAATGAAGGAGTCCTCCTTTAGAAAGAGCAGATGCTTGGGCTAGATCAAGTGCTAGCAGACCAGCTTACCCAGGAGAAATTTGTGAGCCTATGATACTGTATAATAAATGTCATAGACTCCCAGTCTGAAATCAGGCTGAAAAAGCAGATGCAGAAGGTGAAATGCATACAGAGGACTAAGGTATTGGCTTATTTTGAATATAACAAGCATTTTTCCTACTATACAAGAACTATCAGTAACATATTTCATTGTTTTAATTCCAGGGTGATGATCCTAAGGAGACAGTTTGTGTATATCTCAGCAGTTCGGTGTCGGATTTGGTCTGATGTGATTTTGTGAGCATTAAACTGCATCATTACAATAGAGAAATATTTTACACTCGAGGAGAAAAGGAAGTGTTTTTTCACACAGTGACTGCTACATTTCTGAATTCCAAGTAGTCTTTTTTTTTAAATACAAAATAGCATTTATTCGGGAAATTCTGAAACTCCTGACTATTGTTTTAATTGTAGCAAAGCACAATCTCAGGATGGTGGCAATATGTGACATTTACCATGTTTTGCTTCTTAAAGTATCATTAAAACATTTTGACATAGGATCTCTGGTTTTGTTAATATAACAAAATGCAGGCAATAGTCTCTGTATAAGTTGGCAGTGATTGTTTTCAATTAAGAAGTTGATCCTGTAAGCACTAGCATTTGTCTACATGAGAAAGTTGATGAGAAATGCTACAGAGGAGTAATTAATTCAGAGTCACATCATTCTTAGTTTGTGCACAGATGTGCACAGATGAAAAAAATCTTCCAGGTTAGAGATAGTCAAGTGGCTTGTGGGCTTTCAGTTTGCGGGCAATAGCTAATGTTGTGGATTTAATGGGATCACTCATGTGAATGATGTTAATTTTGTGAACAAGAAGGACCAGGGCTGTATAATTGTTTTTAAACCCCTCTGCTTGCTTGTGTTCCTGTCTAAGGTCCAGTTTAGCTCCAAATGAGTACAATAAACTAGGTTCAGTGCTGCAATCCCCAGAGTCCTCGTAGGGCATGACTTTGCACACATTCCTGCAATCCCAGATCTGTATCTCAGCTGACTTACGAGATGAGCCATTCATTAGAAAAATGATTGGTGCCAAACCTATCATTTCTTCTATTTCTTTTTCACCTAGCATAGCTCCTGTCAATATGTGACTAAGCATTATTAGAAGAATGCACTAAGCATTATTACAAGAATGTTCCTTGTACAATCAACCCCAAGGTCTTCTCCTATACTAGGACATATGAGAAGAGAACCTATAGTCATTTAATTTAATACCCATGCAGTTCTGGTGCTTTAAGTTTCCATATGGTCCACAAATACCTGTGGAGCAACATCCTGTGACATGAGAAGTATCAGCCCAATGTAAAGAAACACATTAACATTTACAGGAGCTATGAAAAGCAGTCATTCTCCTAGGTATGGCTGCTTGTATGTTACTGCTTATATGTTTTACTGCAGGAAGAAAACCCAAAACTAACACACAAAAAAATTGTAATAACCAGTTTCCGTTAACAGAAAAGTTTCAGTGGCTTTTTTTGAATGATCAGTTCATAGATGGAGTGTCCTTCTTTTACAGTCAGATACTATCGGGTGTTTTCTTTGCTAAAACTCCTTTTGCCACTGTAGCATTAAATCCTCGATCAACTGATTTAAAGAGCATTCAATATTCCAGTCATTGAGGATTATATCTGAAAAAAAATCCTACTCAAATGAATTGAATCTTTTAAAATAAGGTTCAAAAAAACTTTTACACTGATACTTTATAAGAGCATTTCTATATTGTTGTAATGTTTGAAAGCTTACCCTGCGGCAGTTTTATAATCACGTAAATAATCCTGAAAGTATTAGAATTAATCGTTATGGTTCCAGGTCTGTTAGTTGAGACACATCTTGATCCATCTCCAAGATAATGATATCAGAATCCAATACTACTCCTACCCAAGCAGAAATGTCCATAAATCCTGGCTGCATATATCAGCAATAAAGTAAATTTTTTGCAAAAGAAGGTTTTTAAAAAATAGATAGTGCTTAGGGGCATTGAATGACACCCCTGGTACACAAGTGGACCTCTGAATATCAGTAGGGCTTTTAACAGAAACAAAGACATCAGAATTGAGTTGATGGCTACATCTGCGTTACCAGCTGGTGACTGAAAGAGGCGAGCACAAGGGTTTGATTCACTGTGATCTGTTATGGTTCCAGCACCACACATCCACGTTTTGTCTTCACCAGCAATGAAATTTGTGCCAGTTTCTGGCCACAGGCATCTGCTGCTCATGCGCAGAGAGCTGGCTGCTGCAAGACCCCGCATCCATGTTAGGAGCATTATAGATGATTGCCTACTGCAAGACCCTAGTTACAGATCAGAGTCAAATCTGCTCCCAAAATTGCTCCTCCTACACCATAAATCACTCACATAGGCTGTCCCTGAGTGTTTGTAGCTGGAAGCTGTGCAAAGTGATGTACTTGTCCTCTGGGTGATGCAAACAGCCTAGGCTGAGGAGAACCGCGTCGTATTTCATCTAAAGAGGCAAAGATGCACCTATGTTCAGGCAAGGACTGTAATTTATTCCAGTCTAGTGTAGTGCAATGAGATGATCTTGGATGTGCAGCAGCTACATGGTTCAACTTGGAAAAATTCATACATCTCTTAGAGATTGAGAGGATCTTGTGCTGTGCCTACAACAACCACAGGTGCTTTGTGTGTATGTAGAGGTGATGCAAATCATTAATTCATTGCTCAGATTAAATTCAGTGATTTACTCAGCATGAGTAGAGTGGCGAAACCCGTTTGTGTGTAAGTAGAAGATGTGGAGGGGAGAAAATGAAGTTTACTTGCAACAGAGAAGCAACGTTTTTCAAAAGTGTTTGTTAGTTAGCACTGTATTGCATTATCTCAGTGAATAAATGTATACAGTGTACCATGACACACCATAAAGAGCTGAAGTTACTGTGTTTCTGGACTATTTCTGTGCAGCTATGTTATTTATAACAGACATGTATTAGTAACTGGAAAGGTTATTGGAATACATTTTAAGAAAGGCTTAGCTGAAAAGGAGAAGCCTATTCTAGTTTCCTTGACAAAATGAGGTCTTAATTGAAGGAGTGTGATGTGGTCATTACAAATGAGAGCAAACAGAAAGCTCTGCAACGTGGACAGACCCTTTGACTTTTTAGCACTGTTTCAGCTCAGTTTAAACTTGCTGCTGACCTGAAGACCTGATCCTCCATGCTCTCAAAGCTCTCAGTGATTTGTGTGGAGCACAGGACTGACAAGAAATGCGTGGAATAATCGTTAACCTTTCCCACCCTTTCCTACAAATACTCTTAACTCCTCGTAGAATAAAAATATGCTCTATTAGACTTTAGATTAAGAACCTATTTTTAATGTAGCTTTCTCAGGCCTTGCTCCAGACATGAGGTTATGATGAGATGTTAGTTGCATCCACTCCACTCCACAGGAGTGCAGACCTTGTGCTCAGCTTTATTATAGCTACTGCTGCTGTGTGCTTGGTGGCGAGGTCATCTTAATTTGTGCACAGGCTGGACAAGTTAATAGCGGTGTTTCTGTATGACAAGGTACAGTTAGATTGATCAAGACTTGCTGAAGTGCACTCACTGTGGGAAAGGATGCTTTCTCGGGTAGCCGAATAAATTATTTGTCATTTATATTACATCTGTGATTTCTCATTTATTTTACATCTGTGCCAGGTTAATGATGAATAAATGGATTTTGTACCTGGCTGGGAATGTTTATGACGCTTTTGCAAGACTGAGCCAAGTGCAGTTTTGATTAAGGATTCTTGTCCAGAGGTTAGGAAGGGCCTTTCAGTTCCCTCTACTTGACATGAGGAATAATCATTTTTAGGGTTTGTGGGCCTCCAACACTGTCACATGCTGTGGAGTGAATATTGAGATTAAATAGTTTTCTAAAGATAGAACCACTGACAACGTGCTAATAGTTCCACTGTACCTTTGCAGAGGCTGACAGTGTCCTTGCACATGACTGCTTCACAGCATTGTTAGATTAAAGCCTGCTTGGCTGCTTTTATTCCTTTTTCTCCTCTGAATCTTTAATGTTGCATCTTCCTTTAGGATCCAGTGCTGCCCCAAGTTGGCAATTTCTCTTTCCCTTGTGGGGCGTTATGTAGTCCTGTTTAGTGTCTGTTAGGGAGTTTGTATGGCTATGAATCAAATGCTGCTATGCTTGCAGCATAGCAAAACATACTTAACATGGCGTGGTTTACATCTCAAGGAAGGCAGCATGGTGGGATATTCACATTGCCTAATTGGAGGTGCTAAATTTGGGCTGTAGCTCCATGGTGACTTAAGCTGTAAAGGCTGGCCACACAGTCCAGTCCTTGTTCTTGTGCTCAGTCCCTTCCTTCGTGCCGTCTCTGGCTCCTGTCTGATCCTACACTGAGCTGGTTTGGCACACTGAGCTGGCAAAAAACGGAAATGGCAACAAAAAAAGAAAATTGGTCCATGCCAACAGAGCCAGGGGGATTTCAGACTCAAAGCAAAGGAGGGGGTGAGACCATGCAAGCGGGACCGCAGCGATACAGCAGAGGCCATTTGTTATCTGATGGCTGTTGGACAGGCCCAGTGGTAATGTCTCCTGGGCCCTCCCTGGTCAGAAGGGAGAGATGAGCTCCTGCAGGAGCTCATCCTGGCAGGCAGGAGCCCGTCTCTCCCACTGGTGACAGAAGGAGCCTGAGGACTGTAGGTGCCTACACCAGTTGATTGTTGCTCACCCTTCTCTCTTTCCCATTACAGTCATTTCAACAGGCTGTGCACCATCTGCAGGTTCTGAAATTATAACCATAAAAAACCTTTGACTGTAAATACTGTTTCTCAGTTCACTGATAGTAAACTTGCATAAGCTTGCTCATTATTCAGCACACCTATGCTTTCAGTCTCTGCTAACCCCAGCATCTCAGACAGCATCTGCAGAGCTGCACAAGGTCTGGCAGTTTAGAGACCAGTTAATCTCACTTTGATTCTCTTTCCTTTGTACAGTAGTGAGATGTCTGACCATATTGCCATGCTTGAGTCAAGATGAAATTCTCTGTCCTGTGTGATTCAGGAAAAGAAACTAAATAAATGCCAGGTGACCTGGCACCTCCTGTGGGCTCCCCAAACTACTAGAAAAAAATAATCCTGTTGTTATGTATTATTTGATTTTATCCAGTGCGGGTATCTGGGTCGGTTAATTGGTCTGAGTTAATTGATTGCTTAGACTTTGACCCCACA